ATCATTAAAAAATGTAATAAAAAGTGCAGCATTAGATAATAACAAGTTGACGTCATTATTATGAATGAGCAAGTAGATAATCAGTAAAGTGAACCAGTAGCCAGTAGTCATATGCGAGCGCTTTACAGCCAAAGAACTCCGCTTTATAACACGTATCTTTTTTTATAATGAAACATTTGTAATAATATAATATCTCTCAAAATTTACAAAAACGGAATAATTGGAGATTAATTTTTTTACTAAATTTATGTATTTGTAACATATACATTTTCGATATATAAAAAATACGTTAATCGCTTTAAACTTTGAAGTGATAATGTGATAAAGTATAAATAATACGTTTCAGTGTATCTTTGATCAAACACATTGAAGATATATCAAGATAATACATTTTATCTCGAAGCAATTAATATACATTCAGTAATTTGTATGAATTAAAGTGTGAACAATTGGAAACTAAGAAAACAGGATTTTATTAAACCGGCTAATTCTTTGTCAACAAAAAATGATTATTACTATATTGCTATTATTTATTCTTATTATATTGGTGTGTAATTATTATGTGCATTATGGAAGAAATGGGCGACTTATTAATCTTATACCAGGACCACGAGGTTATCCAATTTTGGGAAATGTATTGCAATTTCTCGGATCACAGGGTAAGTCCCTTATATATTCGCATTCATGTTCGCGTCGCCTTTGCACGTACGTGAGCAACTGCAATATTTGTTACATTCTATTCTGAGAAATATAATTACCAATTGCGTGTTGATTACTTTTAAGAATTAAGTTAAGCGATAAAGTCTTATTTTTTAATGATAACAATTTATTTCCTAAAGTTAATTAAAGATATTTGAGAAACAATAGAATTATATTGAAAAATATATATAAAATGATGAGAAACCCAATTATAAATCTTTCGACCAATATATAATTATAATATTTGTATGTTTTTACATTTATATAATACATATACGTGTATTCTTTAGAGGAACTATGGAAGATTGTGTCTGACCTTTCTAATCAGTACTATCCAATTTTTAAAGTACGGTTAATTTTTTTTTCTGGTGTATGCATCCGTCATCCGGATGATCTAGAGGTAATGAAATATAAAAGATATTGTGGTTTGTGTTATGGCTTTATTATT